CCTCACTCACGATGGCCTCATATACCCTATGTGACTTGCCCCACTCCCCCTTGCCTCACTCCCTCCCCTTCAGCCACACTTGTTTCCTTGATATTCCCCGAACACACTCCGCACACTGCTACTTCAGGGCCTTTGCACATGCTGGTCCTGCTGCCTGGAGCGCTTTTCTCCAGACACCCACATGGGCCCTCACCTTCTTCAATAAGTGTAACATTTTCACGGAGGCTTCTCTGACCATTCCTTTTGAAATTATATCCTACCTCTCCATTCCTGATCCTCCATACCCTGCTTTTCCCCTCGCAGAACTTATCTGCCTGGAACAGTGCCTGGCACAGGGCAGACCCTCATTCGATCTTTGCTGAATGAATGAATGACCTTAAGTTGTGTTTTCCCCTTTCACTTTTTTTTTTTTTTTTTTGGTTAACAAAAAGGAGAGAATATTTGGAGAGTGGGTGAAGAGAGATAAAGCTATGAATGAGGTTTAAGTCTTTTTGAAAATGAGCTATTAGTCTGATCACAATGATCTGTACAAACAAGTAGTATAGAAAAATCCTAAAATACAGATAGTCCAGTAAGTATTTCTGTTTTGATTATACTATGTTATGGTTGGCTCTCTTATTTTTTCTTAAGGTGGCAGCTGTGTGTGTGTGTGTACATGTGCACCAGAGGTAATGACGGTAAATTGGGAAATTACTGAAAATAATCCACAAACTGGGTGGTTTTGTCCCCAAAGAACATCCCCATAATACATTTCATGCACGAATGTATGCTCTGTGAATGTGATCTTCACAGAGCTTCAGGAAACTTACAAAGAGCTCATTAAAAGTTGACCAGCGCCTGGGCTGTCCATGTATGTGAATTCTGTGGGCATCATGGTTGGCTGTTTGTAGTGTTCCAACCCAGCCCTTCCTGTACAGTGGCTGGACAGTTATATGGGACTAGTCCTACCCGAATATGGTCACAATGGTCCCTTAAAGGATAAGCAAAAAGCCACTGGGGTTCAGAACAAAATTCAGATATTTTCCATGGTTGTAAAAAGAGACGTTCTTTCTCTCCTTACAATGTGAAGTAAAAAGCTGAAAGCCTTCTTGCGACTACGAAAGAGGCTAATTTGAGGACACAGCAGACAGAAGAGGGCAGAACTAAGAGAATTTGAGAAGCAGAGCCAAAGCCCTACTGACTCTCTGAAGCTCTGGATCAAACCCTACCTGATGCTTGCCCCGCTTCTAGACTTCACATAAATTCAAGACAATCAGTCCATTAAGCTGATATAAACTGGGGTGTCTTTTGCTTTCAGTGAAAGGCTTCCTGATAGGGTGTCCTTCGATTTTTTTTCCAGTCCATCCCCTCTGCTTCTCACTGGTCCTGAGTGTGGATGACACATGGGCCCTCTGTGCAGTTGGCATTATGCGCATGTATTTCAGAGTCCTAAGGCAGTGAACAGTTTTTGGTTCCCATACAAGTGATGTTCCATTTCTCTGGCATAAATGAAGGCTAGAGTCCTTCACATGAATGTCAAAGCATAAAAAGTAGCAGGGGGCTTCTCAGAGCTGTGTCATACTTCTCAAGTTGACATTCCTGATGCACGAGCTGAAACGCCTATTGAGTGCCCAGAGAAGCCTGAGGCTGGGCTGGTTTTCCGACAGCCCAGCCCAGCATCGGCCTGAGGGCAGTGCTGTCCGGGGGACAGCAAGCCTGGAAAAGGGTAACGTGTGAAGAAACTCTCTAATAGGCTGTCCCTTATTTATTGGATTCCAGACATGGGACCAGGACGGAAGAATCCCAGGGCATTTGATTTACACGGGGTGGGTGGGGGTTTGGGGAAGAACACATACAGAGGCAGAGATGCATACAGATGGGCGCTGCAAAGAGGGACTACCATTTTAAAAAATATATACATCTTAAGCCATTCCAGCCATTTAATCAATATTAGAAAATAAAACATTCTTTCCACATAGTGCTTTTCTTTGGTGCTATTCCGTGGGCATGGGCCCCTCTATCATCTTGTCACAAGTGTGTCACTGCACCCCCCCACCCCCACCTTGACTTCATCCATCTGCACAGGGGGAGTGGAGAGGCTGGAGGAGGGAAGGGTGGCCCTGACACAGGGTGGGTGCAGATTCTGGGTCCTCTAAAGACCTGCCTGGCCTCCCAACCAATGCCCCTCTCTGGTCATGAGATCTTCCTACTTGGTTTCTTCAGTGGTGGCCAGGGAGACCACCCTAGTGTCCTGTACGCAAAACCTGGGGGCCGCTACCGAGGTTCACATCGTGACTCCACCAGTCTAGAAGCTTTAGAAAGGGTCGGAGCACGGGGACCAAACAAAACCCAGCCAGTACCACCTTCTCCGTGGTTGGATTTTCACATTTTATTTCTTGGTTCATTTCAATGACCTGTATCATGAGAATACAAGTGAGAAGGGTGATTTCCTCTTTACAGATTTTCCAGGAACAGCAGATTTGGGGGGCAAACTTCAGTTCCGTCCCGTTTGGGGTACGGGGTATCCTAAACTCTCCTCACTTCACCATCCCCCACTAAGTCAGGGTCCCCTCTCCCACGGAGGCCCCAAAGCTGGCAAGGCCTTCAGCTAGGAAGCTGGCCTACATTTTTTCTCTGAATGCCTAGCAGTACATGCCAGGGCCCTTCCCACTGGACAGAGCTCCCATCAGGCCAGACACACTTCCTGTGACCCCTGGGACTCAGGTGTGAGAGCAGCACCCACCTTGCTGACACGGAGCCCCCAGCATCATCAGCTCCCCCTCACTGCTGGAGGCTCTAAAGGCAGGGCCCATGCAGAGACACCAGATTTCCCCCTCCAACTGCATACAGAGCAGCCCCACACCCTGAACTGCTTGTACTGTTAGCTGATCCTTCCCCCTAAAAAGGATGGGCTGCAAACCCCAGCTGAGGCGCGCAGCCCCCTGCTGTGGCAGACGGCTCGGGTCCTCACACCTGAGCAGGAAGGGACACCCGGGCGATGAGATGCCACCCTCGGCTCCCCGTCAAGCACACAGCACGATGAGAGGCTGGGTGAGGCACCCACGGAGCAGACTCCAGCTTCTCTCACCGTGAGGTCCCTCGGATTTCGACCTAAGGGTGTGGCCCCTAACGGCTGCCGGACTTGGGTCTTGGCCCGGGTCCCTCGATGCTGAGGTGTGCGTGGGTCCGCCCAGATCGGGACTGCCCAGAGAGCTAGGGATGAAGCATCTGGGACAATTCCAATGCTGACTGTCCCCTGGCTTTGGCCTTGGACTCCCCACAGGCTACCGGGGCACATGAGGAGCACATGCCATGAGGCCAGGAGGCCTCTTGGAGCCCACAGCATTTTCTACGTGAGGACGTCAGAGAGCCACTCTGCAGCTGCTGGGTCTTGGCCAACCTTCCAGCCTGGGGTGACCTCAGCAGGGCCCAGCACGGAAGTCCAGGAGCGGAGTCTGGGGTGGAGAGGCGGCAAGATGACACCAGCAGCAGCTGCTTTGCATGGAGAGCTGTGGGGTCGGCGGTGAGCACCCGGCCTCCCCGAGCCCCAGTGTTGGGTGAGCCCCCTACCCGCCTGTGCACGCCTGTGTTCCCCAGAGGCATCCCAGCTAGGGCCGCCCTCACCCCTGCTTCACGAGGCAGCTGCTCAGAAGGGTCTTTCCCCATTACTCCATCCCCGGGGTGGGGGGGAGGGGGTCCTCTGAGCAGCTGTCAGCTAACCGGGTGCAGCCCTCGAGGAGCTCAGGGCTGCCCTGAGTGGGTCATGACCGACTTTTGAGGCCACTCACAGACATCAGGTGACAGGCTGTCTCCATTTGCTTGGGGCTGAGGGGCTTCCCAGGACACAGGCTTCAGTGCTAAAACCAGGAATGTTCTGGGCAAACCAGGGTGGTAGGTCACCCTACACCATAGCCAGGAAGACTGGGGGGCCCCCCGGAAAGCTGGGCCTTTTCCGTGTACCCAGGGAGCTAGGTACCACCTCCTCGGTCCCCTCCTGCGGCAGCGATTCGGCCAACCCTCTGGAATGCTGGGAACGGGTGTTGTGGTGTCCCCTGCCCCCGGGAGCCAGGACACAGCAGGCAGGCTGCAACCTCCCCTGAGCTCCCTGTCCTTGGGGACACCCTGTCCACTTACCTTGCTTCTAGGCCTCTCTGTGCTCAGCAAAGACTGGTTCGAGCCTCTCCCCATCTTGCCCCCATCCTCCCAGGACTGGCAGCCTGGCATCAGTGCCAAGGTGCCCTCAGATGGGGCCAGGCCCCTGCACTCCCTGACTTCCCACAGGCTCCAGACCTGCCCTGAAGGCTGGCAGGGGGTAGGCGAGAAGCAAGCCAGAAGCAGTGGGAGCTCTGGGGAGTGTGGCCTGGACCCTGCTCTTTTCTGAGCTGGTGCTGTGCCCAGACGCGGGCCCTGCAGTCACCTGCACCCACTGGGTGTGCGCTGAGGTAGGGGCAGGGAGCAGCAGGGGGTTCCCGGAGGGCAGGTGGGCCCTGGTGCAGCAGGGACGGGCAGGTGGGGGGCACCCCAGGAAAATGCACCAGCTCTGGCAGGCTGCTCTCTCCACAGTGAGTCCCTAATGGGAGCAGAGTGTGTGCCCAACTGAGCGGAGGGACGGAGGGTGGGAGCCGGTGGGGCCGTGGAAGGTGTGGGGCTTCCTGATGAGAACCAAGGAAGCTCAGAATAGGTGGAGCCTCTGGAAGGAAGCACCTGCCCTCTGGGAAGGGAAAGCTTCCGGGTGGCACCTAGCCCGGGCTGGTGGAGCTCGAGGCGCTGAGCACAGGCCACCCAGGCCACGGGGCGGGGTTCGGATATGCGCTGCTGTTTCCTGGTGGTTTGGTGGGGAAAGGCGGGGCTTCCTCGGTGGTCTCCAGTCTCAAGAGAGTGGGCCCTGGCCCAGGCCCCAGCACTGCCCACGGAGAAGGAAAAACATACCAAAGAAAAAAAGCCAGTTACAGATGAGCCCGTGCCCTGCCCCCCATCCTGGTTCCCCGGCCCCACCGCACCCGGGACTCTGTGCACAGCCGGGCGGCGAGAAACCCCCTCCTCTGGGACTGCTCGTGGCCATGATACAGGGCTTGAAGGTCGAGGCCGGTGGCCATGCAGGTCTCCGCGTCGGTGGGTCTGTGCGCGGGCGGGAGTCGGTCCACGTGCCGGGCCCTCAGACCTTGGCCTCCAGCATCTCCAGGAAGAGTTTGTGCATGGGCACCTTGCCCTGCAGCTTGATGCTGTAGAAGTGCTGCACGGCCTTGGCAGCCGTCTGCCGCAGCAGGGGCAGCGTCAGCAGCAGCTTGCCCGTCCTGCGCGGCTCCTCGTGGCGCTGGCCCAGCTCGTAGTCCTGCAGCGCCTCGTGCAGCAGGTCTTGCAGCTTCTGCACCGCCTCCACGTCCTCGATGTACATGGAATCTGCGGGCACACGCTTGGTGTCAGCAGGCGTGGCCATGCGCCCCGGGGCATGGGCTCCACCCTGGGGCCTGTGGGGCCGCCTTCCAAATCCTCACTTTCCCAAGAAGGAGCCCTGAGGCTCTCAGAGGATAGGCTGCCAGCTTGAGGTCACGGAGGCCAATGACAGAGCTGAGGCTTGGACCCGGGGGAGCCATCTGACCTAGGAAGGTCATCTCTCCAGAAACCACCGCGGGGCAGCGGTCGGAGACCCCGAAGGACTTGAATGTGAGCAGACCCACCACTGGCCTGTAGGGCCCAGGAGGACTCTGGAGCCAGCCTGCTGGGTTTGGGAATCTTGCACCATTGCTCGCTAAGCTGTGTGACTTTAGGCAAGTCGTTTCACCTCTCTGTGCCTTATTTTTCTCATTTGTTAAATGAGGTGAGAGCCAGACCTACCTCAAGGGGTTGAATGAGTAAACAGACATCGAGGGCTGAAAACCTGTCCCAAAGGAAATGCCCAGCTGGTGGTATCATCACCAGCTCACCTACAGTGTCCTCGCTAACCTGACAGAATGCTGGGCACAGAATCCAAACAGAGAGAGGGACTGAGCTCTACGTGGAGGTGGTGTGCTTGGGGGGGGGGGGGGGGGGGGGGGGGGGGGGGGGGGGGGGGGGGGGGGGGGGGGGGGGGGGGGGGGGGGGGGGGCTGGCACGGCTGGAGGACTGGGGTGCAGTGAAGGAGAATGCTGTTGTGAGTTCTCTGAAAGTCCTGAGGAGGGCTCTGGATTCAGGCACAAATTGGGGGTGCAAATGAAATTTACCTAAATCCCAGCAGGACAGGTGCTGACAGCTGGGTCACAGCGGGGTCTGAGTTGAAGCAAAGGCAATTTACCGGAACCCATTCCCCGGCCTCAGGGAAAATATCCTGCCTTCTTCTGACTCTCCTTAAAGATCTCGAGCCACCACACTGCACTGCAGTGTCTGATGCCTGCCAGAGGTGGGAAGGGAAGGGTGCATATGGATCAAGTAAACCGAAAGCTCTGGGTAGGCTGCCCAGAAGGCAGGGGCGAGGCTCCAGAGTTCCTCAAAAGAGCGGGGCAATTCTTTGCGTGCCGAGTTAGTTTAGGTACCAGACTGCCAAGGGCAGCTGTTCCAACAGGCTGACCCCAGTGACTGCTTCTGACCTTCCGGACCCACACTCAGCCCTGCCTCTGGGGTCCTGCCTTCTCCTCTTGGGAGAAAAGCAGAATGAGGAAGATAAGGTTCTCAAATCTTAGATGCTGTGTTATTTTGGCCAAGCTACTTAGGCTCTCTGAGGTTGTTCCTTCATCTGTAAAATGGGGCAAATCTCTCCTACCTCATAGGGTAGTGGTAAGGGTTGAAAGAAATAGCACCTTCCCAGGCACTTAGGAAACACCTAATGAACGTACCGGGGTGTTACTGGTCCCCTACCCAGGACTCGTCCACCTTGCCGGAGCAGTGGGGACGCCTTTGCCACCAGGAAATGGAGCATGGCTCCGTTCCTGCACTCTCGGCTGCTTCCAGAATGTGCGCTCAAGATGTGCTGGTCCCTGTAAGGCTGGGACACAGGTGACCAGACCCCCTGCCTCCCGCCAACTTCCTTTCCCCCTCCTCCCACCCTCCCCAAGGAGGCCACAATTGGCAGCTGCCTTCGACCAAAAATGAAATAAAATAACATTGCAAGATTAATTTCTTTGCAATCCATCAGCGAGTCTGTATCGATGGCATTGATAAACTGTTAATTACAAAATCAATGGCTATGAATTTTTTCTGCTGTCAGGGAGCCTTGGAGATAGGACTCGGGGTGAACGACGGCCAGCAGGCTCCTGAGGGGCTGTGGTTTGGGGCCCCAGCCTGTCCCTGCCGTGCTTCGCTCTTCTGCCTAGGGCAAGCCCCCGAGCCACATCCCACGCCCTCAGCCTCAGCAGTGGCACCCAGGCCACCACCAGGACCACCCCAGCCCTCTCCTGGCACCTGTCTCTCCTCCAGCCAACACACTGCCTGACCGGGCGGCCTTCCTACCTTGCTGCACAGCCTCTCATGGCCCCTGGACCGACCCTATTGCAACCCAATCCCTTCCTAGACCCGGAGCATCTGGTCTGACCCCAACCTACCTTTCTGGCCTTACCCACAGCAGGCCTAGGCTCTCCCCCGTTTCCTGCCCAAAGCTGATTGCTCGACTCCGCGACCAGGGCTGTGAGTGTCACAAACTCCTCTTTCCCTGTTCTGAACTACTTGTACCTGCACACAAGCCACAGGATGGCCTGGGAGGAGCCCCCGGGGCCAGAAGCACAGGTTCCTGGAACTCCATCCCCCGTGACAGCGTGTGCTCAGATGAAGCTTGATCCGGCCGAAGCTCCCAATGGGCTCGTGTCACCAAACCAGTGTCAGTCCTCAGGTGCTGTGTGCGCCTGTGTGTGTGTACGCATCTGCAAGTGTGTGCACGTTTATTTGCACACACGCGTATGTGTGCCTGTGTTGATGCGTGTGTGTTCACGTGTGCATGTGTATTTGTGAGCATGTAGTGCATGTGTGCCCATATCTGTATGTGTGCATGTGTGCGTGTATTTGTGAGCATGCCTGTGTATATGCACCTGTGCATGTGTGTCTGTGTCCATATCTGTGTATTTGTGAGCCTGTGTGCAGCTGTATGTGTGTGCACATGCAGGTGTCTACATTTGTGTTCATGTCTGTGTATATGTGTGCACATGCCTGTATTTGCACACATGCATGTCTTCACATGTACGTGTACGCCTGTGCACATGTGCGTGTGCATGCGTGTGCGTGTGCGATCAGGACAAGAGCCAAGCTAAAGCGCCATCTGAAAGCCGTCACAGACTGACGCTGGAGAGGGGGGTGGCCGTGACACCTCTTCACTCTCTTACTTCCCACTTGGGCCAGCCTGAGCTCTAGGTCAGGTATGAAGAAGGCAGGGGAGTCTAAAATCAAAGACATGCCCTCCAAGGTCTGGCAGCCTTGCTGGTCTCACTGTCCCCACTCTGTGCCCCCTGTTTTCACCGAGTTCCCTCCACCCACACAAACTCCCAGGCCTCACAGCTGGCTGCCCTGTTTCCCTCTCAGTAGGAAGCACGGGCTCACGAGGGGTGGGGCCACTCTGTATGGTTCAGAATAGCAGTTGGGGCGGGGGGAGGTCTGTCACTGCCCATTTGTCAAATCTACAGACCCACACGACACAAAGAGCTAAACCTGGATGGCAACCAGGGCCTTTTGTTAATAATGTATCAGTATCGGCTAACAAATTACCACACCAGTACAAGATGTGAACAGTAGAGGAGACTGTACGAGGTGAAACTGTACGGGGCGGTGGGCGGGGGTGGGATGGGTACACAGAACTGTAGTACCACCTGCTCAGTTATTCTGGAAGTTTCAAACTACTTTTAAAAAACCGACAGCACCAGGATTCTCTAACAAAGAATACACTACCATTTGGGGATCTTAAGACGTAAAAGGTCCGGGGTGCCTGGGTGGCTCAGTTGGTTAAGCAAACAACTCTTGGTTTTGGCTCAGGTCACGATCTCATGGTTCACAGGATCGAGCCCGAGTCAGACTCTTGCGCTGACAGCACAGAGCCTGCTTGGGATTCTCTCTCCTCTTTCCCCGTCCCTCCCCCCACTTGCTTACTCTCTCTCTCTCAAAATAAATATTAAAAAAATTTTTTTTAAAGATGTATATGTTATGTATAGAAGCATGTAAAATTTTAATTATTCTTTTCCATTTGTTTATTAATAAAAGGGAGTTGAACTAAAAAAAAAAAAATGCTTCACTCTATTAGATCAGGGTCCCTAAAAGCAGAGCCCAAGACCATGGTTTGGGTGCATGGATTTTCTGGAAGGTGTGCTTTCAGGAGAAAGGGAGGGAGGGAGGCAGAACAGGGTGAGGGTGAGAGCAAGGTGAGGACATGGTCTCAGCTTGGGCCTGATCCACGCAGGGCTCGGATCTCACCCTGCCACGAGTCCAGGCTTTTGTTCCCGTGTGGGTCGCCATTAGCTGAAGGTGCCAAGGTACGTAGCTCCCCGGGCAAGGCAGGTGAGGGCAGATCTTGGGGGAGGGGGCAGCTGTGAGCTATTAGCAGCAGAGCTCAGCAGCGGGGGTGTGGGGGTGCTAACCCAGTAAGGGGGGGCTGAGCAGGACATCAGCAGCAGCCCCTGCATTCTCTAGGAAGCCATTTGTTAGGGGAACAACTGCCTCAGTTTGCCAGGGACTGAGGTTTCCTGGGACATGGGACTTGTACTAAAAGCCTAACTGCATCAAGCAAACCGGTTAGCTACCCTGTTTGTACTGCCTCCACCTGGGAACCTGCTCTCCCTCTTCCCCGTGCGGATCCCACTTTGTTTCCTGTAATATTAATAATAATGGTAATTAATATTTATTGAACATTTCCTTGAGGCCAGGCACTGGTCTAGGTGCTTTATCTTAGGTCGATCATTTAATACCAGAGTGCTTGGAGAAGGTACTGGGGTATCCCCATTTTACACACAAGGATAGGGCTAAGGACGGTGGCCAACTTGCCCAAGGTCACGCTGCTTCTAAGTAACAGAGCTAAAATTTGAACTTGGGTCCCTGTGACCAGACTTGAGCAGCGAACTCCAGGGCACACCGCCCTGCAGCAGAATTGTGTGCACGCCTGACACTCTCTTTTTAGACCAGAAGCCTGACTTTCTCCTGCACTGACCACCCCCTACTTGGCGCAGTACTCCGCACTGGGTGGGTGCTCCCTATGTGTGGACACGATTACATTGCAGCCCACTCAGCTGCATGGCCAGTGGCCGGCCCCTCTCCCCAGAGACTGCAGCCAGAAGCTGGAAGAGGCTGAAGGAATGCAGGTGAAGCTGCCTTTTTAAAGAACTTTATTTTATTTTTATTTTTTTGAGAGACAGCGGGCGTGCACAAGCTGGGGAGGGGCAGAGGCAGAGGGAGAGAGAGAATCCCAAGCAGACTCCCTGCCAGTGCGGAGCTCGACACAGGGCTCCATCTCACGACCATGAGATCATGACCTGAGCCAAAATCAAAAGTCGGACGTGAAGCCTCCTTTTAATGACAGACCAGACAACTCAGTCGGGAAGGTGTTCTCTCTCTCGTGCCTGAGCAATTTGATTGGGAGATTCAAGGAGTGGTTATAAGCCGGGGGTTGATTTTGCAACCAGAGGACCTTGGTTTGAGTCCTAGCTCTGACACCCTTTGACAAGGTGACCCTGGGCAATTTTCTCCAAGCCTCAGTCCCCCATCTATAAAATGGGGTAAAAAACCATGAGACTCTTGCTCACAGGAGTGTAAGAATTAAGTTCATAGCTAATTTCTCTAACAGGTTCAGCACTTACTATTCACCAAGCAGGTAGTGAGTATGCTATAATGATATGCAAATAAATCCCTTTCATAGCCTGGTGGGGGAGGGACTCTTTATTGTTCCCATTTTACTGGTAAAGAATGGAAGGCACAGAGGGAAGCGACTTGCGACTTGCCCGAGTAGTAGAAGCAGGATTTGACCCTTAGCAACTTAGCTGTAGAGTCTGTGTGGCTGTAGAGTGCGTGGGCCAGACGGCAGGGGCTCAGTACATAGAACGCCCTGCAAATCAAGGGCTCGGGAAAAACCTGCCTATTGCTGGCCTTCATCAGCACCCCTGTAGCTCCAAGCCAACCCCCTGCACAACCTTTGGTGACAAGAACCTCCGGCATCCTGCCCCTGCTCACAGGCTCCAGGGCTATGCTCCCCAGGCCCAAGAGACCTCAGGAAGCTCCTGCGGTGGGGCCCGTGCCCGCCCTTACCTGAGTTGGCCAGAGCCAGGGCCTTGAGCGTCACGAACTCCTCCTTCTCCACCTTGAGCTTCTTGTACCTGCGCACCAGCTGCAGGATGGCCCGGTAGAGCTCCAGCAGCCCTGCAAGGCGGGAGTGCTCCTCGTCCATGATGTAGTCCTCGGCGTACACCAGCTTGTCATCGTAGGGCAGCGAGCGGTACACGATGCCCAGAATGAGGATCTCCATCCAGGCGCTCTGCAGCAGGCTCATCTGGTCCCCGAGAGAGAGGTTCGAGAAGCCTGCGGGGAGAGGGGCCAAGGAGAGCAGGGGCAGTCAGGTGGGCTGCCTGGAGCAGGTGGTCCCGGCCACCTCCGGATCCTGCCCCTCCCTCTGTGCCTGCTGAACTCCTTGTTCTTCCCTGGGCCAATGAGTCAGGGAATTCACGGAAAAGACTTACATAACGAGAGCTCAGTCAATGTTGACAATTGTTATTATGGCTGTTGTTAGTGCTAGGCTTTTTTCAAACACCTGGAGAGGTTTTTTGGTTAAATGCGTTTGTAACTGAAGGAGTTTCAAAATTCATAATAGGATCAAGAGGCAGCAGTCCAGGGTCCTTTTCCCTCTGGGGCCTTTCCAGATCCTTCTCTCTGCTCAACCAGGGGATGTTTTAGTGTTTTAACATGACACCTGATACTCAGTGCCGAGTCTCAGCTGTGTGCTGACCCAGAGGCCCAAACAGGAGATAGGACTCAGCTGTTCTCGGCCAGTGACTCCCTAATGACCACAGCCCGGGGCTGCTAAGAGCTCAAGAGCCCCCAGGGTCAGGGGGCACTTTCTCAAAGGGCAGCCTGTCCTCCAGGGGTCAGACCCCTGCTGCCCCGGCCATCACTCTCCACCTAACAATGACCCAAGCTGTCTCGCATTCCGTGAGCTTAGAATTATGGGAGTTTCCCCCTCCCTGCTCGTAAGGAGGCTGACCCCAGAGCAAAAGGTCAGGGACACGGATGGCGACATTATGACACGGTCTTGCCCAATGTGCTCGGGAGACTGCCTGGGCCTGAACCCCGACTCCCCATTACCTGGCTGTAGGCGGACCATGTGAAAGCTGTCACTGCCCCAAACCTCAGCATCCCCTTCTGTGAAATGGGTATAACTGTAACACCTGCTTCAGCCTCTCCACGAGGTCTAAGTAAGACAATGATTATGGAACATAAAACATGCTCACTGAGCTCGTACTACTGCTATTAAGGATGGGATGAAAAGTCTGTCTCCAACATGAGAATAGTATCTGGAACTCCTGTATACATACACTTAACTTAGGCATGGAGCAGTTAACGTCTTTTTTTTTTTTTAACTCTTGCCCATCGTGGGGCTCAAACTCACAAACCGTAAGGTCATGACCTGAGCGGAAACCAAGAGTTAGATGCTTAACCAATGGAGCCACCCAGGCGTCCTGGAATAATTAACATTTTGATTTGAGATGGGGGGTAGAGAAGAAGGAGGGGGAGGGGGAGGAGGAGGAAGGAGAAGCGAGGGAGGAAGTTGACTTTCAAACCTCTTGGTCACTAAACACAAGGTGGGAACTTCAACCAGAAACCCCACAATTGGCTCCCACGCTGACCACACCAGACGGATGGAAAGAAGGAAGAGTTTCCATGGGCCACCTGCTCTGTGCATCAGGGCTGCCCGGGATGAGCATACCTATGTGGGCCTCTGCTTCACTGGCGCCCTGGCACCTCACCCCGTGTGGGTGCGGCACTGATGTGAGGGCTTCGAGGGTGAAGTGGTGGTTATCAGACAGCCCCTCTCGGTCCCCTATACCAGCGGTGCCCAGCGAGCCTGACCAAGGGGTGATGCCCATGGCTGTCATTACTGTTACTGTTTTTGTTATCAGCATGCTCTTGGCATGTCTCTCTTCTCCCTTCCTGGCATAGCTGGAGGCCTGGGATGGTCCTGAGCTTCTTGACATCCCTCTGGGTTTCCGTGGAGTCTCCCATCCCTCACCTGTTGTCCGCTGAGTCTAAAATTCACTCCATTTTCCAACCAGTGCACAAGCGTTCTGCTGTAGGGGCACTCCTGGGGCTCCTGGCTCACCACCTGGCTGCTGGCACCCACGGGTGACTGACAAAAGAGCTGAGCAATGACACTGGTGGATGAGGCAGGCCGGGACCGACATACCTCCTCAGGGAGAGGGGCCAGGTGCATGCGTGCTGTCGATCCCGGCACGCGAGGGGGGGTGTGGCAGCCTGTGGCGGCAGCAAAAGCCGGGAGGTAATAAAAGGCAGATAGAATGGACATCCAATTTCCCTTATCAGGTCTCTGAGCGGGAGAGGCCTTGGGCGACATTAATTAACAGATCCCAATCAGCCGGCTCATGAGGGTGTGTGCACGCAGGGACTGGGGCGCTGCCCTGGAAACGACAGACTGGGAGGAAAGATGTAGGAGGTGGACGGGGCGAAATTAACAGACAACTGCAAAAAGAGAGGTAAGAATGAGGCTTCTGGAAACGGATAAAGGACCCCTCAGAGGCCCATCACGCGGGTACCACCACCAGAGGAACGTTAACAGCAGGTCGGTCTCTTCATTCATCCAGCACATCCTCACTGGGCACCTGCTAAATGCCAGGCCGTGTGGGCGGAATGGTGAACTCAAACCAGAAAGGGCCCCTGTGCGTAAGCGCTCGCAGTTGATAGGGAAAGGCATGCCCTGAGCACCCAGCTCTGCGGTCACCGTGAAGTTAGGACAGTTAAAAGAACAAGGGAGATGGAGGACTCTCAGAACACATCATGGGCGAACTTGGCCTGAGTGCCGAAGGCTCTGCAGGAGAAGACATGGGGCTGAGCCCTGCGTGCTAAGAGGGGCCTAAAGAGGGTGGTCAGGGCACCGCTGGCGAGCGCACCCCAGGGTGCGGGGACCAGCTGCTGCCCATCTTCCCGCCCCCAGCTCCAAGTGCCAGCTGGGGACAAGGCAGATGCCCAATGCATATTCCCAGCACAGAGGACCACAAACAAATGCTCTTGGACCCGGATTCCTAGGTGACAAGAAAATGGGCCCGAAGAAGTCAGTGAGACCCTCTTAGTCGTTTAGACAGAGTTTGGAAAATGCTACCTTTGCCCACCGTGTAGAAGCCAGAGACAGACCCGCCCTCTGGGAGGCGGGCAGAGCAGGTGGGAGGAGGGGGCCTGGGGACAGACCTGGGTCTGTGTGCGGACTTTCTGCTAATGAACTCCATCCTTGGCCCCTGACCTCTCTCCTTCTCCTTGAGCAGCTTCAAAAGGATCTGGAAAGGGCTTTGAAAATCCAAATGTACTCTCCAAAGTGCTGAATGGTATACAGAGACTGCTGCTCTTTGTACAAGGGGGTGGGGTGGGAGGGGATGTGGTATGTTCTAATATTTTAAAAAGCTCAAACACTTTCTAGTACTTGAAAAGTACTTGAAAAAAAAAACCCACCAGAAGGAAGAATGAAATATAAAGACTTAGCTCTAGGAGGAAGGAGGGGAGGCGACAGGGAAGGAGGGAAAGGTTCTGTGCGCACATTTCTATCTAGTTTTGCCTTTTGAACGTGTCCATATTTAAGGTGTCCCCAAACAAAATTAAATCAAGCATAAAACAAAAGGCATGCTTCCTTCAACCTAGCAATTCCACCGCTAGGAATTTCTCCCCGGAAGAACAGTATGCACAAATACGCAGAGATAGATGTGAAAGAGTGTTTGCTAGATCAGACTGTAATGGCCTCAAGCAGGAAACAACCTAAATGTAACTAATGTGATACATGTAATTACTATATAAACATAATTATTAGCTAAATGAATGGCACATTAGAAGCCACCAGAAAGAATGAAGTAGAACTGTTCCTGTGGGCGTGGAAAGATACCCAAGAATGTAAGGAAGACTTAACTATAAAGGAGACAGACACCACAGCCAGACACTAGAATCCTAGCTCTGCTGACCACTGGCTGTGACGCTGGACATGTCCACGTCTCTGTGCCTTGGTTTCCTCATCTGTAAAATGGGAATAATAATAATAATAATACTTTCCTAATGGGACTGTTTGGATTACATGAGCTAAGGTGTGGAGCACTGAGTACGCTGCCTAGCACAAGGGAAGTGCTACCATGTTCTATAAATCAGTGGAGAAAGCAGGATGTAAAGCAGTACTCTAGAATGGTCCTACAGTGGGGAGAGAACATACACACACCTGTACACACACACCGCGGCTGTACATGCACAGGAAATTCCCAGGAGGATGTTTAAGAAAGATGAGGGAACTTGAACTCCTTAATTTCCATCCCTCTGTCACTGTTGGTCATCTTTACCGAAAGCACATATTCTTTCTTTTATTTAAACCCAAACAAAGGGCTGAAGCGCTCCTCCCTGCCCTTTGGCCAAGCACCCTCCAGGTCTGCTTTCCGTGCTGGGCTGGGTCTCCTCCTCCAACAAGCAATTAGCAGTTCTGGGACAGGGTGGCTGCTGGGAGAGGCTGGTGTGGCCCCTGGGCGTGCCCGCTTGAGGTCCTGCCATGCCCAAGCCGGCGTCCCCACCCCCAAAGTTGCTTTATCTGCACCAACTAATCTGATAACATTCAGGATCTTCCCAAGGCCCCATCCCCCCAGTGGTTTGACAGCATGAGCTCCTAGAATTTAAGAAAAAAAAAAAAAGAGCACATAATTTGTGGCAAGTGGAGTTCATAATCTGTTAATTTATTATCGTTTCTGTCGACCTGGAGGGCCATTAGCAGAGGTAATAAAGGGAGATGTAATTATAGGATCTGAGGCCACTCCAGACACAGCTGCTGTCACTCGGCAGCCCATATTTCATCGGCCGCTGGCATTCTCTCCCCCGCGCGAGCCAGACGGTGGCTACCTGGGAGCAGGGCTGCCGAGGAAGCCTCCGTGGAGGCCTCTGGGGGTCCCTTCCCCGCAGAAGTGTGCACATGTCCACCCGGCTGGGGAGGGCTCTCCTTGCCGGCGCACCCTCCAGGCCGCCTGGGGTGACAGGACAATCCATCAAGCGAGACGCACTGCCTCTTAAAGGCTGCTGCCCCTTGTTCGAACCTGTCGCTCCTGGGGAACAAGAGGTGGGCACTTTGAAGACCCCAGCTTATCCTCTCAGCAGCCCGGGACTTGGAAAAGTCAACTCCTGGTAAAAGCCTACATGTGTGCGGGGTCAGGCCACCTCGGACGGACTGAGACAAAGGAATGGCTGCTGTTCTGAGTGAGCCACGAGCAGCCTGAGCTCCCTGGGGAGCCCGCCCGTGTGCGAGCGCCCTGTGTGTTCAAACGTGTGAGTGAAGGGGGGGTTGCTGCTGAGAAAGGAGTTTTGTGCTCAAACAATCCTTCCTCCTGGGCTGGCTGGTGGCTCCGCGCCTGTGTGCGTGCGTTAGCTTCTGGCCTGCAGCCCGAAAACTCATGTTCGTGAAGCCCTGCTGCCCTTCTGGGCTCTTCCTCCGTGGCCACTGCCCGTCAGTGCCGGAGGCCCAGCTCAGCATCTGCTCTCTGCCCCTGCAGCCTGTGGCAGCTCTCTGTCCCTGGTTCTCCTTGCAGCCTTCCAAGTGCGCAGAACAGGAGAGGGGAACGGAAGAGGCGAAACGAAGTGGGCAGTGGGGTGGTAACATGGAAGCAAGCGCCAGGGAGGTTCCTGATGCCTCATGTTTATAATTTTTCACGAAAAAGTATTTTGTCAGGACACCCGGGTGGCTCAGTCGGTTAAGCATCCAACTTCGGTTCAGGTCATGATCTCACGGTTCATGAGTTCGAGCCCCACGTCGGGCTCTGTGCTGACAGCTCAGAGCCTGGAGCCTGTCTGTGTCTTCCCCTTCCCTGCCCCTCCCCTGCTCATGCTCTGTCTGTCTCTCTCTCTCAAAAATAAATGTTAAAAAAAATTTTTTAAGAAAAAGTATTTTATTAAAAAAAAATTATCCATCTTATTTGTAAATGAGATCTCCAGGGCCGAAATTAATCTAATTCTTTTGGATCAGCCACGACTCCTGGCAAGAGACCTTACAGGTAGTTAATACTCAATAAATGCACGCAAAGGCAAGTACAAAATGCCCTCTGTATGCCAGGCTGTGGACAGATACGGAGAGATACAGTTTCCTATGCTTAAGGAAGGTAGGCGGGGCTCTGCCTCAGAGCGCTAACCGGAGCCATCTTAAGGGACCTTCTGCTGTCCAGGAACCGGGATGGACAGGAGCTGACGTCAGTCCCAGGTGGGGCCCTGGCTTGCACCTACCCTGCTAATAAACCTGCTTCCTTTCTGGCCCTCTCTCTCTCTCTCTCTCTCTCTCTCTCGCTCTCTCTCTCTCTCTCTCAAGACTAGTGAGCAGATCTTCAGATGAGTTTTCCATCTAATCTGAGATGGGATTAAGTCTATTAGTTTAAACATACCAGGCACTTGGTATGAGGCTTACCATGTAGTGGCAGGAGACGCTATTAATTAATTTTACCTTAAACACTAGAAGGTCAGGCCCAAATAATTCAGCATGCAAATGTATGCAAAATAGGCAAATTAGTGTTTCTGACAAATGAGCCCCTATGTTTATTTTATTTTTTAATCAAAAAGACTTCAGCTCTGGACAAGGAAAAATGAAGATGTGAAAGGAAGCTTTTAATACTATTAGCGAAGACAATGACATGGTCACGGTCCCCACCACTTATCAAGCACCCACTGTGTGCGGGGGCTGGGCTGACGGCGCCTTACTATCTGTTATGATTCCCAATTCACAGGCAAGGACACGGACGCTCAGAAAATGAGATCTCTTCACAAGGCCAGCCAGGACAGAACTTGGATCAGAGCTCAGGTCTGCCTGAGTCCAGAGTCTGTGTCCCTAACAACCTCACCTCCCTCTTGGTTGGGCGCGGATGGGAGATGGTGCTGGTGGGGGGCAGGGGGGCAAGGAGAGAATGGGTGCAAGGGAGACAGTGCCTCCTGGTTCTACGCCTCCCCTCAGACGTGGCAGGAGAAGGAAGCAGTGACCTGGGAGACCGCCAGGAGCCACCCCTGGGCCATCGCTGGGAAGAGGAGCGTGTGATGGCAGGGGAGGGCACGATGTGCAGGGCAGGGGGAGCTGTGCCGGATTCGGCCCTGGGTTACTGGAGCAATCCGGGCTGAGGTGTCTTAAGCAGTGGCTTGACCCCACATCTGAGCTGAATCAGCACAGGCCAGATTCAAAACTACCAAGTGCGTAATCCCAAGAGGCTGAGCTCCTTAGTAAGGGCGCTCTGGCTCAGATCTCCGGGGAGGCCCCACCCCCTGAGTCAGAAGGCCAGAGGCCATCAGCGAGTCCCTGTGGAAGGAATTCTATGCTTCCTGCCAGCTAAGTGACACCAGCATCACCTCCCGGGCCCCTTGTCCACAGGAAGGCTCCCTCACATAGGTTGCGCACGCACGTCTTCTATAAAAACATCTGACACCCCCAGTCAACCGTGGGCCTCGGCATCTCAAGTCTCAGACGCCTTAGCTACACCACCATGCATGCTATATTCGTTTTTCAGAGCTGGCGACACACACACACAGAGGATCTACAGACAGGAAGATAAACTGCCCCACGTCACAGAACTCGTAAGCCTCCAAGCCCACGGTGGATGACTGCCAGAGGAAAACGACATCCCCACCTCACTACGAGACAAGCTGTTAGAACCATAAGAGGAATAAGCTGTACAGGCTTTCGAAGGCTCCCCAACGTGGGTGTAACACAAAATATGTGGGTGTCGGTGTCTACAAAAATAAAATTAAAAACCAGTCTCCACCGTTTGTCCAGACTGAGGATGCTGAAGGAAGGGTTTGGGCCACGCGCAGTGAACAGCCATATCACCCGAAACGCATTTACTACATGTACTTTCCATGCCACCTATAAAGAGACAGGCCTCCCTTGGGATCAGACAAGTGGCAATAGTGTGTCTGCAACGAACAGTAAGTACATACCACAGATCACACTCATACCTGCATCTCATCCTCACGTCAGAGCCCACGAAGGAGGTATTGCTGTCACTCCCTGTTCTCAGAGGGGTCAGATGACCCACCAAGGGTGACACAGCTAGTAAGCTGCAGATCCAGATGGTGAATCCTTTGAATCCCAGACTTTGATTCCCCAGCCCATGTTCTCAACCACTCCAGTCCACTGGCCTCTAAAGGAAGCAAGAGACTCAAATTCTCTCCTGTATTGTTTCCCGGGACATTTCTAATAAGGGCCGCAAGAAAACCCTTTGACCTTTAAGGACTCAGAAAACTTCCTCTTTGATTCTCACCTGTTGTTAAGAGGTGATCATCAACACTCTAGAATGATAATGGGTTCTGAAGAGCCCCTGAAAGTTTAGGAATGTTACTGGACCTTCCAACACCTGCTTCCCTCCAATCCCACAAAGAGAAAAGGAGCCCAGAAGAAAACACGGCTCCTGGGTCCCGGGCTCCCATGCATCAGAACCACGGTGGTGGGGACAGTGGTTGGGACTCCCTGGCTATACGCCCCTCTCCCCTGGTCCTACGGGACTCACCTGGGATGTGCTTGGCCCAGCCAATGATGACCACGAGCTCCCTGTCTGCCAGGTCACAAAGAGTGGTCAGGGCCTTGATGTCGCCTTCAGGCATGCCAGGGGGAGGCATGGCGTAGAGCTTGTCCGGCTCGGCCACCAGCAGGTAGGAGACAATCTTGGTCACTGCCAACGACCAAAGGAGGAGTGTGAACGTTGTGGGAAGAGGTAAGGGCCGGGGTGGAGCCTGGAGTGGCTCAGGAAGAAAAGTCAGGCTCTGAGGAGTCCCAGAGGGTCACCTCCCCCGCTCCCTTTCTCACACCACTAACTTGCTGGCAGTGCTGATTTGGGCTTTTAAGAAACATCCCTCTGAGGGAAGTTGCTGGAACTTGAGAGGAACATGCTTGAAGGGCAGGTGAGGGTGACATGCTCTGGATGCTGGCGCCTAGGCCTTCTTAGGATCATGCTTCATTTGGAGCCACATTCTGTAAATCCCACACGGATAGGCCTTCCGAATGAAGCCTGACACACCCAACACCAGACCAGCCATCGAGGCCATCTCCCCAAGACCTGCACTGTCTCCCAGCCAATAGTGGGAGGTGGCACCTCCCCGGGGGGTGCCCATGTCCCATGTACCCATGCTAGCAGAAGGGGCATGGGCCGCCCGACACTCACATGGCTTTTTAGCGGGTGGAGAAATCTGTAAGCTCAGGTAGGGGCTGCTCTCAGAGTCCAGCCGTCGCTTGTATTTCTGGCGGCCTCCACGCACTCGGTCAAGGCGCACACCTGTTGGGGAGGAAAGGGGCGAGGCGTCAGGTCGTGCCACATCAAGGGTGTCAACACCAACTCTGGAATTGCAACACTGGCTTCGGCCCTCACGACCTGATGCCTTCCCAGCTGCCCCGGGCCTGGCCCAGCCGCTGGACTCAGCATCCTCCTGAAATCTACCCCCAGCAACCTCCAGCTTGAGTCTTTCGTCTCCAAAGGGAAAGCACAACGGAAGCACTCCTCTAGACATTAGAGAAGGAAGAATTGTTATTCTAGATGTGCTGTGAATGCAGGGAGGGTTGAGCTGGCTTGCCAGATGGGAAAGGGAATCTCTGCCACCAGCAGGCACCTCCAAAGAACGAGAACAAGAACGTTCAGCCTTTTCACATGAGCAGCACCTGAATGGGTATTCATTACAAATGTCAATTTCTGGATCCCACTTTCACAGACCTTAAGATGGAGTTCTACAGTCCGTCTTCTAGATAAACTACAGGGAGCGTGAGGACTGGTCTGGGCACCCTCAGCAGCAGGGCCATGGGCAGGCCTGGGCCGGACTCTCCTAGATGAGGGTGCAGGTGGTCCTGGCCACACCTGGAAAATGAGTGCCTCGAAGTCTCCCAACAGCAGGTGCAAAAGCAGGTGTGGCCACTCCACACTGACATCCCTTCCCAGGATGAGGCCCTATCCCAGAGCGATCTGCTATTTCCCTGGGTCTATATGGCCTTCCAGGAACCCACCCCAGCCTCAGCGCCTGCGGTCTGGACAGACATGTTGGTACCATTTGACATCCCTCACCAACCTGCAGGGCGGACAGGACCTCAAACAGGTTCCCCATCCAAAGGCACACAAGGACAGACTGGCCACCAACCTACATGGCCTGCCCTGAGAAATGGATGGGATCCAACAAATCAGCTCCAAAGTATGAACTATTACAGGAAGCAGAGCGGCTCCTTGAAGCTTACCATGAAACAGGGCTTGATTAAAACACATAAAAAGTGAGAGACAGTGAGGCGCCTGGGTGGCTCAGTCGGTTAAGCGTCGGACTTCAGCTCAGGTCACGATCTCACAGTTTGTGAGTTCGAGCCCCACATCGGGCTCTGTGCTGACAGCTCGGAGCCTGGATCCTGCTTCAGATTCTGTGTCTCCCTCTCTCTCTGCTCCTCCCCTGCTTGTACTCTCTCTCTTTCTCTCTCTCTCTCAAAAAGAAATATTTTTTAAAATTTTTAAAAATTATAAATGAAAATAAAAAAGTGAGAGACAGAGACAGAGTCCCGAGAGGAAGAGAGCTCAGTGCCACCTCAGCCTCTGAGGTGACAGGTCAAGTTCAACTTCCTGTTCCTTTCCTCAAAGGTCAACAGCATCGCCCTCAGAGCCCTAGTAGTTGATCCTCCAGGCACTTTCTCCCTGCCACCACCTCCTGCCTGTCCTCCTAGCTTGGTGGTGGCAGCAGCCAGTCCCATCAGCTCAGGCTCCTCCTGAGGAGAGGCCAGAAGGCAGCAATACTAGTGACCGGATGGAATGAGGATTTAGATCCCATTCATGCCAGGGGTGATTTTCTGGCTGTTTCTTAAGACCTCCGGCTACTACATTTAAGTCCCTGGGCAAGGGAGGAAGTTCCTGGAGCAAAGAGAGCGGTAGAAAGTGAAATCACTTTGTGTGCTGAATAAGAAGGACCAGACCTTCAGGTAGGTGCTAACTGCCCTACAGGAATCAGGGTGAGGAGTGCCCCATGGTACCGTGCCCGCAGGCTCCCAGTCAAGTGCTCAGACCACCCCTCCTTCAGGGAGGATGCTGTGAGCCACTGAGCCAGATGGCCCAAGGGGACTCCGTGGGGCCAGTCACTGCTCTGCATTTTCATCAGCAGTACCCTTTTTACCACACAGTCTGACATTCCTGTACTTGATGCTGAACATGGATGCAGTAAACATTTCGGGGGCGGGGGGAGGGTCTACCCCGCACCCCACCCCTGCCTCCTGTTTAATAATTCCCCTATTGTGGGTCATCTCGTAAGTGGGGCCTGTGCCCACCCCAACTCTGAGTATCTCATTCGACCCTCTAGAGGTCAAAGCATGGTCTAGTGACTCAGGAACAACTAGCTGGAGGCTTTGATCAAATGGCACCAAGAGAGAGGGAGGGTGAGGATGGGTTGGGGCTGCAGTGGTGGCTCGGCAGCGGGGGTGCGGGCAGCCCTGGGCCTCAGTCTCCTGGTTACTCATCTCCAGCACCTGGGCTTTCCAGAGCTGCCCCTGGTCCTCGCCTGGCATCTAAGTGTGGTCCTTGAGCCTCCTGAGAAGCTTCCTGTGAACTCCCCTCTGCTCTGAGGGGCAGAGTGGATTGCAAATGACCACACCGACAGTTGGGTTGCCTAGGTTCAGACTCTGAGACAAAGAGAGTTCATCTGGAAGGTGAGCTCAGGAAGAAAGCCAATCATGGGTGTGTGCCTGAGTAGGTGAGCAGGCGACTGCTGTCGCCGAGGCTCAGCCTTCCTGAGGACCCTGGGAGACAAGGCAGGACACGCCCCGGTTACCCTGCTGCAGACGAGGGCCTTGGGGCATCCAGCCGCCCCTCCTGACAGTCACCAGCCCTTCCCGGGCCGGGGCTGAGCAGGCTCTGGTGACCAGGGCAAGCCCTGGGCAGAGTTGTGGTCACAAGGAGGCAGTGCAGTTAGCACACGTGTGACAGAGTGCTGAGTGAAGGCAGGTGGGACACCGGCCGCTGCCCTCCTTCTCAAAGGGTGGTCCAGGCCAGGCATCAACTGGGAGCTGAAATGCAAACACCTCACGCTGCCCCCTAGGAACGGGCGTCAGCACTTTAACAAGGTGACTCGGAGGCTCATGGGGGTTTGGAAAGGGCTGCAATATAGCTTCCTACGGACCGGCAGTGCCAAGGACCTTGAAGGTGGCAATGGAGGCCCATCCGGTACAGGACCTAAAGCTACATGCTGGTGGGACTTTGGCTCCCAGCTGCCACCCCTCCTGGGCCCCTCAGTGAGGGCAGAAGGAGCTGGCACACAAAGGCAGGAAGGATGGCTCCTCCTTTGAAGGTTTTTTTGGGGAAAGTTCCCTGTTTTCCTGACCCCCTCTTGTGACACAGCTACAAAGCAGCTCCCTGCTGCACACCTACTGTGTGCCAGGCTCTAACCAGAGTCCGGGATGAGCCCCTCCCTACTTCACGGACTTTCTCTCCTGAAGCCAGTCTCACGAGCTCTCGCCTACACCCACCCCAGCTGGTATAGCAGGAATGGGAACTGCTCAACAAAACACTGAACGAGGCATGGGTCCCTTAGCAAGGCAAGGCGATGGGCACTTGCCACTTCTGTCACAACCTCCATATAGAATGTTCTTTGTCCTGATATAGGGCCTGGCCTGCAGTGGGTGTTCAAGAAAGTCTTGATGCATACAGGAACGGATGGGCCTCCTTCCCATCCCCTGGGTTGGGTGCTTCCTCCAGGGCTTCAAGCTCCAACAGCACCCCTACAATGAGGGGCTGCTCTCCATCCCATTATAGGGTCTGTCATGGTGCCCAGTGGATGCTTAGAAAGCCAGAGCTAAGGGAGCCTGGGTGGCGCAGTTGGTTGAGTGTCTGACTTGAGCTCGGGTCATGATCTCACAGTTTGTGGGTTCAGGCCCCACATCAGGCTCTGCACTAACAGAGGAGACTGCTTCAGATCCTCTGGCTCCATCTTTCTCTGTGCCCTCCCTGCCCCTCTCAAAAATTAACATTAGAAAATTAAAAACAAAAGAAAGAAAGCTTGAGCTTTTACTGTCATCACCATCACCATTATTATTGTTACGCTTCCCCAACAACTATGTACAACCCTCTGGTAAGTCACAGTAGCAACAATCATGAGAACAGCCTAATTTATGGAGGACTTTATGTATTGCCCTTTGTCATCTACAACATATAAAGCAGGCACAATTATCCCCATTTTACAAATGAGAACAACTGAGGCTTGGGTGCTTGAGTAATTTGCCCAGTAAAAGAGCCAGTATCCACGCTCTCTGCTCCTCCAGGGTACAGCTCCCCTGGGCCCAGTGGGTGTAATCTCTCCTCTAAATTTCCTCCTTCAGATCTTCATGGCAGGATGGTCAATGGCTCCAATCAATACATGCATCAATTATCAGCTTATTCTGTTTTCTTAAGAAAAGTAGCCTGTTGGGTCTGATTATGCCTGAATTGATGTCTGACATGAGCCAGGTTTGCACCCTGGCTTCCTGCCCAGATCTTCCCCCAGCCACAAGCCCATAATGGCTCCAACCTACGGGATCCAATGGTCAAGGTCCCAGACCCGTCTCAACAGCCTTGGCCCGTTGGCTCTCAGAGCCTTGGTCTCATCATCAGGTATGGGGAAGGAGGCAATGGCAATATCAACACTGCTCACCAAATATGGCTTTTGTTGACACCAGAAATGCTTGCTAAGTTGGCAGTGGCTCCGACAGCCAGGTGAGGCCGTCATTCCCACGGCCCACATGGCAGCATTCACTGGCACTCTGCGTGCCACCTTGCGCTTGTTTCCCTCTGTTCCCATTCACTTTTCAACTCAACTGATTCCTAAGGGAAAGGGTCCACATCAGCTCCATTTTCTGAGCTCTCCGTCCCCCAAACTGTCCCCAACAGGGTTTACTAAATTGTCATTTAGGGTAGAGAGGTCCCATGGTAGAGATCTGTGCTTCCCAACCCAGGGGCCCCCTTCCCATGGGTCCCCGCCCAAAAGATGTGGCCCTATCCCTCTTGCCCACACCATTCCCAAAGGCAATTAAGATCTGAATTTACCTTGAAGGCCTAGTCCAAATATTATTTCTACCGAGAAGCCCTTCCAGACTCCCCCTGGCCAAGTTGGCTGTGCCCTTCTTGGGCTCCTTTTGCTTATTCTTTTTTTTAACAACTACGGTCAAAACAACAACTCTTCACAATACATGCTATGCTCATCTCCCTGCTGGGCTGTGGGCATCTCCTAGGCAAGGACTTTGCTTCATCTTTGTCACCCACACTCAGCACCCCACCAGTGATAGGCAGTC